GTTTATGAACATATCCGTTTTCGTTTATCAACAAAAACTTAACAAAAGTCAAAGTTGAGTAAAATTTTATTGTTATTGTTAATTTTTTAATATATTATATAATTTTTCTTTAAAAAAATTATTACAAGTGTCAAATCCAGCTTGACAAATACAATGTTTTCTTCAATCTATGCCAAGAACAAAAAAATTGAATACTATCAACGAATTTCGAAAAAAATATACGAATGTGAGTGTATGACTGCATTGCAGTGTCAACTGTTACTCTTTAGTAACAAAGATTTCAAAAGAAAAAAAAAACAATAAACATTTTTAACATTCATTTTAAAAGATCAAATTAAAGCCTTTCTAAATTGAGCTTTTTAAATTCACCAAATGCTCGTACACAATTACAGTTAGATTCAAAAGCCACAATTCGCAAATATTTGTTTTTCAAAGTTTATGTTGTAGGCAGGAGGGTTCGACTTTTTTCAACATCTTCGTCAAAACAAACCAAAAACAATAACGTCCCAAACACTAAACACATCATCTTGCTCTGTAATCATTAACATTTTTTATTTCATATATTTTTCAAAAATCTCCTTAAACAAAACCAAAACAAGCAACACTACAATAATAATAATAATACAACACTTCAACTACATTGTAACACTTTATTACATAAGTCTTTTAATTTATTTTTGTTTGCGTTTTTCATCAGTTTAACACGACGCGCCTACAACTAAGAAACAGGCACGTTTGTTGCGCAAGTCTTTTACTGTTGTTGTTGTTATGCAACAAATTAACAAAACTAAACTGTGTTTTGCATAAAAGTATTTCTTTGAAAAAGTTTGAATTTTGAAGATGTGCAGTTTCGTTTGAAATTTTTTATTAACCCCAGCCGCGATCTAACCCAAGCTGTCGCGTTTACAAGCAGCGCGTTTTGTTGTTTTGCCAAACTTTGTTTAGGCTAAACTTGTGTAGCTGTTGCAATGTTTAACAAAACCAAAAAATTTAATAAAAACGAAAAAATATTTTTTTCTTCTAATAACGGCATACTTTGTTAAAGATTAACACGAACGCAACGCTGTGAGTCTAATTCCAAATCGCGTTCACACTTACTCTTCTCTAACCCACACTTCTGTGCTAAATGTGCGCTTCCACAACGAAAGTGTATGCAAAGTGATTTCGAATTTGACGAAAAAAATTTTGGCTTCAAAAATATTTTTTTAAGATAAAAAAATTTTCAGATAAAATGAAAATTTTTTGGGATGAAAAAATATTGAGATAAAAAAAAATTTTTAAATAAAAAAATTTCAGATAAAATGAAAATTTTTTGGGATGAAAAAATATTGAGATAAAAAAAATTTTGAAATAAAAAAATTTTGAGATAAAAAATGAAAACAACTTTTTTTCAGATCGAAATAAAATAATTCTCAAAACTTCCCATAAATATTTTTTTAATTTTTTTAATTCGGTAGAAAATCAATGAAAATTCAAAAATATTTAATACAGCTTTATCGAACCAATAAATATAACCTTTGCATCCACGAGTAGTACGAAAATTTGCGAGTGCTAACCGCAACTAATAGTTTCCAAAAGTTTTTAAAATTTACTTTGCCCATTTTGTATTTCACAGATGCCACCACATCGGATTTGCCAGCGGGTGTGCTTTACCGTGTCAAGGCCACCTATGGTTATGTGAAGGAGGATGTCGATGAGCTAAGCTTTGAGGTTGGCGATATAATACGTGTTATTGAATACGACGATCCAGAAGATCAGGTAAATATGATTGAGAAGCACTTGTGACTAATTGTTGATTTACTTGTTGGTGGTGGCAGTGTAAATTCTTTCCAAAATAGATAGTGAAAAGAGTCCTTTACCTCTTGGCGTAGACAACGCTTACGCGGTTAAAAGCGACGTTTGCAGTGGTCGTCCTCTAAAAGGGGGTCTCTCATCCGATGCTATTTCTTTTAAAAGCGCACAACCCTGGGGAGATAACTGGTAACTGGCGAATGGCAGGCGTGATGTTTTACTCCAAGTCCTGAATCGAAGCGGGATTGTCCGCATAGAGTTTAAACTTTATATTTCCCCACAGCAAAAAGTCCAACGGTGTGACGTCACATGATCTTGGTGGACAATTGACCGGTCCAAAACGTGAATTATCTCTAAATAAATTCATTGATTGAAGTGATGTGTTGGAAAAGGCGTCGCCTTGTTGAGTCACAATGTCGCCGATATCACGAGTTTCAATTTCAGGCCTCAAATAGTCGCTTATCATGGGGCGATAACGATGTTGTTGTTGTTGTAACGGCAGAACGGACGCGATAACGATCGTCTTTGACGGTTACGTTCCCACCGGCACAACTTTTTAAGAACAATGGACCGATGATTCCACCTCCTCACAAACCACACCAAACCATTGTTTTTTCTGGATGAAACGTCAGCTCTTGAGTTTCTTCAGGTTGCTCTTTGTTCCAAATGTGACAGTTTTTCTTGTTAACACACACATTGAGCCAAAAATTGGCTCATCGCTGAATAAAATTTGGCTCAAAAATGTTAAAAAAATCAGCATGATGAGTAAATTTAACCATGTCACTGTAGGTCTGACTATCTGTATATATTTGAACTAGTCCTTCAGTTTTTTGTTTTTTTTTTTTTCAAATCGGACTGCTATAGCAAAAGCTGTCATACAAACTGACCGATCAAAATTCGAGATGAAGATCTATTTATATTTTTTTTATTATAAGAAATGCACCTATAAAGGGTATTATGATTCGGTGAACCGATGTTGAAAATTTTAGAATATTTTTGCTGGTAATTTGATTAATTTTCTTTGACATAACCCCACAAATAAACCGCTCCCGAATCACCCACCCCTTTATGTGCTCGATCTTTCTTATTCGCCACAAATGTTCCATGACTTTATTAAGCGTTAAGTTTTTTATTTCCAATTTGCAGGAGGAAGGCTGGCTGATGGGACAAAAGGAGGGCACAAACGAGAAGGGTCTGTTCCCGGCCAACTTTACACGACCCATCTAGGCAGGCGTACAGGCGGAGAGCAAGCGAACAAGCAAGCAACAGAACAGCAGCAGGCCAGTGCAACGAACAAAAGCAGAAAGCAGAAACAATAAATAAAGCAGAACAAGAAGCAGAAGCAGAAGCCACCACACAAAAGAAAATATTTAAGAAAACAAAAAGTTAAAAGTTTAAGCAAAAGTAGTGAATGACAGTTAAAGCAACCCGAAGTATATTTACGACAATGGCAAATAGCAAATTAAATTGGCTGCAACGAATGGGTTTTTATTGTTAATTTTGTTTTTATAAATATGTATTTATAAATTAATTTTTTTTCTATAGAAAAATCTATTTTACTCTCCTATCCTGAAACACACAAAAATCGAAAAGGCAACAGTTGAAATTTGTTTAGAAAAATATGTATGTATATATAATATGTACCTATATATGTGCATTATTATATATTTTATTTAATATATATTTTGATTGTATGTATTTGGTACAACGTTATCAACACAATTGCTGCGAACTTTTTATTTTATTTTTTGGTAATTATTTTTCTTTTAACAAATGAAATGTAAATTAAAGCAATTTTAGTAAACAATATATAATATTCTATTATTATACATACTTATGTACATAAATATCTAAATTTACGGGGGCACATATTTTTTAAAGTCGTTGAAATTTTTAAATGTCTGCGTTTTGCTTTAGCGGTGTGTTTCTTTATTTTAATTTTCTTCTCCACAGCGCTTCCTTATATTATAATTATTGAATGCGAATAGCGTGCTTTACCGTTATTTCAATTCGATATGCAATTTATTTATTCGTTTATGAACATATCCGTTTTCGTTTATCAACAAAAACTTAACAAAAGTCAAAGTTGAGTAAAATTTTATTGTTATTGTTAATTTTTTAATATATATACAAACATATATACATATATATATATATATATAACGTTTGTATATACAGATAATAAATAACTAAGTTTCAATTGGGCATATTAATTAAATAACAGCTGGCCAAAAGCGCTGAATAATATTTATTAACATGATATTTATTTTTATGAATGTATGTGATTGGAATTTAATTTAATAAAAATCACAATAAACACTTTGATAAATAATCGTTAGCTGCAATAAAAAAATATTTAACAATTTATTTAAGAAATTTTCGAAAAATGTTTTTTGAAAAATTTTCAAAACACTTTGATAAATAATCGATAGCTGCAATAAAAAAAAATATTATACAACTGATTTAAGCGATTTTCGAAAATGGTTTTTTAAATTTTTAATTTCGCTAGAAAGAAAACAATTAAAAGCGTAATTAATTTCATTGATTAAGCAAAAAAAAAAAAACAAAAAAACAATGCAACTAATTTCCTTAAAGAGAACATTAGTTGTTCAAAAATGTTATTAATTTCCTTAAAGTCAACAGTAATGTAGAAAAATGGTAAACTAGTTGGTATACCAACGAGTTTGAGGCATATATAAATCGTAACATATTTAAAAAATAAAAAATAAATTAAATCGTGCAAACGAAAATAATTAAATTAATACATACATACATATATACAATCATATAAATTTAACTATTTTGTAGTAATGAAGAAAACAAAATAAAAACAACAAAGTTCACGCGGCCACAAACCTGTTTTCAGGCATTTTTTCGCTATTCAAAATATTTAGGAAAATCAACATACAAGTTCGACGCAAATATACACTTTACACATTTGCCCCTCCCCCCCTCGGTAGTCAGAATTTTTCGCAAACACTACAAAAGTACTTTAAAAAGTGCTATGTATGTTTGTGCATAAATATTATTGAAATATGTATGGAAAAAAAAACAGTCAACTGATTTAAGTAGTTAAGTGTATAAAATTTAAAAAATAAAAAATATTAAAGTTAGCCTACCAAAATAATAATAATAATTTTGATATACGTACATAAATTATGATAACAGAAAAAACAAGTATAAATGTCTTGAGATGTTAAAAAAATTTTTTTGACATAAACATAATACAATTATAAAAAACCAAAAACAAAAAAATATATATATAAATCAATTTAATAAATTAAATAAAGCCAGTGCCAACATATAGCCGATTAGTGCGTCTTTGCAACAAAACACACATTTCAAAAATCAAAAGTCATTTGCTGAGCCAAAAGATTTATACTTACATACATACATATATGCATACAAATTGTATTTGAATCGGTGAAAAATAAAGTAAGTTAAACTAAACCTTTTTAAAATTTGTAATTCTTGCGCAATTCTTTATGGTGAGTTGTTAATTTTCTCAAGTTATTTTTAGTAACAATTTACACACATAGTAAACAAAAACATATAAATAATTGTTTAAAACATATCCCTACAATTTAGTTGTAATAACAGCGCATCCATCCTATATACAACAATGCCAAAAGTTGAAAACACACACATATACATACATTATTTGCACAAGCTCTGTGGCATTGTATTTCGTTGTTAGTGTGCGTCAAACCTTCGGCGAGTTAATATATTTAATTTTGCTGTAAGTGTTTTGTAACATCTTTGTATCCTTACAGCTGATTTTAATTTCATATTGCGAGTGTGCAGAAACAACACAAAACTTCTTACATACATACATACAATATTTACGAATATAAAACAAAGCAGACCATTGTATTTAGTATTTAGTTGTATCTAACTGTATGTACATATATATATATTATTTACAACCTAAACTGGTCAAATTTCAAAAACACTACAGTTTACGAAACAAAAATAAATAAAATAAACTAATAAAAACTAAAAATTTACTTGTTGGTATTTTTGTTGTTATTATAATATATCAATCTAACATAAACCTCGAATTGCCGTCGAAAAGCAGATTTGCAAAGATCGTAATTAGAATTTGGAAAGCGAAAGGCTTGAAGATAGAACTCTACATAGTTATCACTATTGGTGCTGACTTATGGTGTTACTTATCCAATTCAACACAGATGCAATTTCTATCGTATTTATTCCTCGAAAGAATAACGGAGCCCCGCAATATGAAGTAATTTGTACATCTGACAAAGAAGAAACCATCACTAGCTTGCCTGCAAAGCAATTTGGGGAATAGTTTTTGTTATTACAAATACAACGAGCTGGTCTAGCACCAAGGGCTGGGTTAAACTAAACAGTAATAAGAAAAAAAATGTTTCCCTTCAGTCCATCAGCAGTATAGGATGGGTTTAAAGAATGCGGAATCCCACAAGTGACAAGCATTTAGCAGAGAGGAATATTAATTCCCACGACAGCCGGTTCTACGTACCGGAATTGACTCGGATTTCATACGACCAAGGGCTGTTTTTTCGGCGATGTAACCCCGTTTGGATCGGTTTATGAAAAAAAAGGAAAAATATTATAATACTTACATATTTGTTTTTGTTGTTTGACCAATATACATATATGACCGTTCCCACGACAGTCGGGTCTACGAAAACCGGAACGGACTCGGAATTTTATCCGGCCAAGGACTGTCAACTCGGCAGAATTTCTGCCGTTACAACAACAACAACATCGACCAGTTTAAGTACACTTAACTTACTTGGATATAATCACCGATGTTGTAGTGGACTAAATATTCAAACAGTTCAAAATTATTTATTTGGACTTCACTTGTTCAATTCAATTCAGTCCAGACTATTTAAACAGTTCGAAATTTTTTATTCAAATATAAAGCCAAATACGTCACGTTCCATTTGACAAACTACACTTGACATGTTTAATTTCGTACATTTATTGTTGTTGTTGCTGTTCAAGCTCCGAATGTACACCAAAAACGGAACCGGATACTTTGACAAGTTTGAAAAAATTTTAATCGGTTAATTGTTAATTTAGTGAAGAATAAAACTAATCTGTGAATAAATGATTGCTGAAATTAGTTGCGCATTATTCTATTGGTAAATATATAGTTTGAGCGCTAAAAATTTTTTAACAATAACACACTTGATTGTTGTTGGCAATGCTCTTTCGTTTCCGCACTGCCTTATTGCTATCTGCAAATAAATTTTTGCACCACTTCTTTCGCATTCGCTTTTGCTTTGCCCGCCTTACCGACTGCGGGTATAATGTTGTTTTCTCTCTCATTCCTTGCCATTCATTTCAGTAGTGCAGTGTGATTTTTCTTGTGTGTGGTAATGATGAAAATTTTGTAATTTTTTTTACAAAAAATATTAAAAATATAGTCCAATTAGTAAGAAATATATGCTAAACTTTAAAACTAACGCATATTATTTAAAAGTATAGTGTCATAACTGTGAAATGCGCTTATATGCAACTAAAAAAGGATTTGGAAAAATCTAATGGGGAAAATTTAATACACCGCTGAAAAAAATGAATGAAAAAGAGGCTGGAGAAGGTGTGAGGTGCAAATTCTGATTGGAAATAAATGGTTTTCAAGCTGCTCATATAAAATGACGGAAAAGTTATTTGTAAATGCAAAATTGTAACTGTCAATTTGTTTGTGAGGATAAATGTGCATAAATATTAAAAAAGAAAAAACAATGCAACTTTTCAAAGCGCTACCGGTTTGGCAAATACAGAAACTGGGTGATCTATAACACCCGCAAGTAATAGTGTAGTTCCCAGCTCCTACTGTTTCAGTGTATCAATTAACACCAGATATGCCAAGAAATTATTTGTCGGTGTTTTTATAAAAATATAAAAAGTTCTATCCTAAATGTCGTTTTACTAAAGAAAAATTTCTGTGATAGTGTAAAATATATGACAAAATTTTCCAGTGTTTATTTAAAATTTAGGCAATTTGACTAGGCACGTATTAATACTATTATATCAGAAAAGTGACTTAATTTTATAGAGAAATTATTACAAATAATCGTGATTTTGGGTGCAATGGAAATTTTCGTTTCTAGATTTTTTTTCTTTCAGCGGACCTCGCCCGTCAAATATACATCGTCGGTCGTATCGTCTGGCATGTGTGTATTCGCCCCGTCGGTATCGTGGTGTATCTGAATTGCTGTTCCACTATGTCGACAAAACAGTTCAGAAATCATCAATATAAGCGAAAACACGCAGGAGCAACTGTGACAACTATATGGCCAGCTTAGATCGGCAGCGAACCATCGGTCTGTTTCTGCGAACTTGTATCATAAAAGTAAACGAAACGTCACGCAATTTTCTTTTTTGCTTATATTTCTTCGTTCTCTTTTGTACCAATTTTCCCATTGGATTTGGTCATAGTCGTCAAATGATATCAAGTAAAATTTTAACAATTTTTACGAATTTCTTGCAAAAAGAAACGAAAAATAGTAAGTGTAAAAAAAACTAAAAGATAAACAAAGATCGGTGCGACAAGTGAATCTTCGCATAGTTACGAAGTTACTATGGAGGATACCGATGTGTATAATTGTGAATTGATTGGGCAGGTGCTATTTTAATAGCTGAAAATGATTTAAAATTTCATATTACATCCCAATTAGCAATAGCCAGATACAAAAAAAGTAATTGGTGATTTAATTGGAAAAATTCGATACCGTATCTCGAGTGTTCAATATACCTACGTACACACACTTTTGAAATTCCAACTCCAGCCTCTTGCATTTATAATCTGTGTGAAAAAGTTATTGTGTGGTTTTATTCTTAATGCATAATAATATTATATTAGGCTAAAATGTTTGAATATGCACTCTGACGAATTAAAGAAATAGAAAATGTTTCATAATTAAAAAAGGCAGAGTTGTGTATTGATATGTAAACGAGTAATATTTGAAGTAAAGAACAAGCAAATAAAAAAAAAAATATTTTAAGCAAATGTGCAAAAAATACAAACTACTCGATCTAACAACAGAAAAATTATAGGAAAACCAGAAAGAGCAACAAAAGCGGTTGAAGCGGAAAAATGTTCCTTATATTTTAGAAACGGGCTCAAGCAACTACAGCTATATTGAAGAAATGAATGAATAATTGACGCTATATATGCACCAACGGTACCGTTAAATATACTTGAGTATATAAATAGTAGTTGCGGTAACCAATAGAACAGCAAATGCAGCAGCAACAATAGTTCGTCTAATAGCAATATATACAATAGATCTGCAGGGATTCTGTAAAAAGGATTAATTTTAAGCAAAAAAGAAACCAACCCTCAATAAAAATAAAGAACAATATTCTCCTAATGATTCTGCATTCGAGAATATCGGCTACAAGGAAATACAAACTTTTGATACGAGTTTCCTTAATTTCTGAAATCTTCAACACCAAAATATATTTTAATTGGTAAGTGAAATTTATTTGAAAAATGAAATCAACTTTGCAAAAGTTTTAAAATACATTAATGTCGGTTGCCACAAAGATGGAATACCCTTCACAAATAAAGAAGTTTCCATACAAATATTGGATTTTTATTGATCAGTTTGTATGGCAGCTTTTTGTTCTTTCTCGAAACTATTTTAATGTATTGGAGCGCTGTCTTGAAGAATAACCTATGCAAAATTTTGTGAAGTTATCTGGTTAAATATAAAAGTTTTTCATACAAAAATACAATTGTAGGATATCGGCGGTTCATATGATTTGTGCAAATTTTCAGATCGATATATTAAAAACTGAAAGAGTTGTTACTGTTCGGCCGACAGAGGGATATAACTAAATCAACTCCTCTTATCATGTTGTTCATTTATATAATTTTTTTTTTAAGTTAGAGATAGTCAAACATATATTAGTTGATTTTTTTCTTATACTAATAATAATTAAATATTTAATATGAGCTGGTGTTATGTATAATGAAACACTTAGATATGCATACAGGTAAAACTTATGTTTGCTGTAGTGAAATGTACATATGTGCCTTTTCGAAAATTATGCATTGGAAACCTAAAAATAGTTCATGAAATAAATAGCAAATGGATTACTCATACTGATAACAGAATTAAAATATCTGGGTACATACGTTCTGGACAATCAACATATCTTCTTAATTATATTATAAAATGAGCTGAAACGTGCTCAACAGGTTTTTATTTTCATATACGATGTAGTTCAATTAGGTAGGTCCAGATTCTTTGCATCCACTTCGTATTCATTTATCTCAACTTTATCAATACTAAATCAACAAAAAGCTTAGACAAGCTATGCGCCGAAGACTACATACATAGAATTCGAATGAGCTTCTAGTGATCGCGCTGCAGGTTATTCTTATCATACACAAGTATATCACTCCGGAGACCAGACCAACTATACAGTGATAAAATTACCTCACAGAGGCGTAGAGCTGCTGGTTTTACTTTACGATTCAAGAAAATTTATTATGGTTAAATTTGTATTGTTATATGTACATAAAAACCGCACAGATACATATATGCATATATTGTTATTTGTACATAACTGTGTGACAACCACAGCAAATTTAGGAATGGATCGCCAGCGGCAACGGCGCCAACGGAGATATTAATAATAAGAAAATTAACGTTGGCTAACAGCGCACAAAATCTTAATTTAATAACAAATGCAAATGCAAATTAGCCGATGTTTTTGTGCAGGAGAAGAATTGAACAAATGGCGTGTCGAATTTCATAATTATATAGTTTGAAAGAAATTTACTACAGAGGGGTCACAGTGATCTCTTTAAACCATTTGTCGTTGTCGTATGAATTTTACATTCAGAATGTCGAATTTTCCTCTGCTTTTCTAGTAGCCATGCTACAAAAATAACAAAATTTTTGCTCGCGTGTAATTATGTATGTATGTATTCCATAATAACACGATTACTGTGGAAAATCACAAGTCTATGCTAAATTAGCCAACGCTGATTCTATCGTTTTTTTACTGTTCTTCAAGTCTTTCAACGATTTTACATTTCGCATATCGTATTTTCTTGCGCTTGTCGATAAGAAAAGACACACTTTTCACATATAATAAGGGAGGGTGCGGTCTCCTGTAGCTTTGGACGCGCACCTTTGGCATTGGAAATGGTAGCGTATTACCGTTAATTAGATTTGAGCTGAAAAAAAAGTAAAAACGAAAGCGTATATTTTTTAAATAAATTTACAGTATGTTACATATATGATCATGTCTTAGTAACATAAACAAAAACCGTAATGTGATGAAGTTTCTTTACTTGGTATAATTTCTTTAATTTGTTGTTTCAAATGCCGCCAAATATTTTGAATTAATTAATATAGGCCATGGCATCGACAAAATATCAAAAAATTTGTAAAATCAAAAAATGAAAGTAACTTCAAAATGGTTAACTAAATATATCGATATTCGGTGTAACGTTTTTATAAGTACGCAGAACACTAAAAATGCTATATCTAAAATAAATTAGTTTTCATAAAATTCGATTACAGTTACTATGATCAGTCAATACCATTACTGTATATATACTATCAAGGTAAAGGTCCATATGTAAATAAATGTGTATTTTGCCATCAATTTTTATGTTCGAACGTAATTTCCAGCACATTCAAAACTATATTATGTATTCGAAATTGTAGAATTCTCTGTAAACTATACCGTTAGTAACAGCTCTTTGCATATATCTTAAAATTGTACATATTATTTGTCTTGTTAGTGTTAGTAGTAGCCTCGGAAATAGAATTCTTCAAATAAATCTGAATTCAATGAGCCACATATTTGTTTTGTTGTAACCTCTGGCAAAAAATCAATGTTCTGCCCTTAGTAAGCGCTAGGAAGGAAACAACATTTGTTATTGAAAATGGAATTTTGCATTGCTTAGGGCATACTTTTATTCTTCTTCTTCTTTACTGGCGTAGACACCGCTTATGGGGTTATAGCCGAGTTAACAACAGCTCGGCAGGCGTTTATTCTTTTCGCTATTTGGCGCTAATTCGAGATACCAAGTGCAGCCAGGTCCTTCTCCACCTGATCTCTCCAAAGGGGTGGAAGTCTTCCTCATCCTCTGCTTCCACCCGCGGTACCCTCAAAGAAAAAGTGTTCTCTTCCATCTGGACAACATTACCTAGCCAGTCGCCGCCGATGTCTCTTGTTTCGCAGAACTATGAGAATGTCGTCGTAAATCTTGTAAATCGCAAAGGACCATAAATCTTCCGCAAAACCTTTCTCTTGGACACTCCTCAGGACCATATTTTGCAAAGAAATCGATTCATGCGCCTTATCAGTTCTTCGCCGCCGAATTTGAATAGCTCGGCCGGTAATCCATCGGTCCCTGCCGATTTGTTGTTCTTTAGGCGGGTAATTGCAATTCGAACCTGTCATGTCGTCCATGACTCAAATCGTAATCGCTCCAGTTTATAACCTTTCGATCCGAATACAGTGAAGTAGCCTGATGAATTTTCTTGCGCTGAACTCTTAATTCTACAGACAAGTATATTTCGCGCCCATGCGATGTCGATCAGACTCAACCCATTTGGAGAGGTTTCGCCTTATTGGTTGAAATTTCCAACGTTGCCTTCTTTGCCCACGCTGTCGTTAAAATCGCCAAGTGTGCTTCAGCCGCTCATAAAAGACATCTTTAGTCATATCGTCCTTCTCTTCCGTTGGGGGTGGGCGCGAATCTGTATAATGTTGAAAAAATTTTACTTTGATGCGGATTTTGGTTAGACGCTCATCCACCGGAGTGAATGCCAGGACTCGATGACTGAATCTTTTTCCATCACGAATCACACACTGAATTTGCGCTCCTTTATAAGACCGCTGTAGTATATGTCAGCCTTTACTTTTACGATAATATCAACCAGCTGAGCATCGACATCTTCGCAATTTAGAGACTGGCCATTCCAGGTGCATGCTTGTAAATCATAGTCTTTATTACGTTTGCTGTAGTCGTCACCAATATGGGCTCTTTCATCCGAGACTGTTGTTCTCTTTCATTGGAAAAAAAAAAAAACAGACGCTTTAATCGAATATGTCGAAGTGGTTCCTCTGAAGCTTCCTTTCTTTAAATACAAGTAAAATCTAGTATTTATTTGATTATATTTTAAATAAAACATATTCTCAAAAACAAAACGCTTTGACTTGTCAGAAATCTATTTCGAAATACCTTATTGGATTTTTCATAAATAAATAACTAAACTTTATAGGACAATACATCCTGTCAAGAAAGTATCGGGAATTCTTCATATAAATCTCCCGCTTATATGGAAGCCAGGTAAATTTTTTTCCAAGGTTGGTACAACTGTCCTTAATTATGATGCCAATGATGTTTATGTCAGTCGACCTCGGTAGTGTTTGTCGAATTTTACAATGATCGAAAATATTGATTTTGTGTTGCGAACGAATTTTCGTGAGCCGATATATTTAAAATGTTGCAGAAGAATTTTTCTGAATCTGCTCTATCAAAAACGCGCACTTACGAGTGGTACAGAGCATTCAAGGAGGATTGGGAGACCATCGAAGACATGCCTCGCTCTGGCCTTCAACAAGTGTGACCGATGATAACGTTGAAAAAGTTAAGGAAATTGTTGCCGAAAATAGCCATGTGAGCTTCTCACCTTCATTAAACGCATAATTACTGGTGACGATATATATGAGGTTTAAGATAATGGTACACTTACGAACCAGCAATCATCCGAATGGTGGCCCAAAGGTGCGCCAAATACGTTCCAACTGGTCAAGCCGTCAACAATGAGTATTATCTTAGTGTTATGAGGCGATTACGAGTCGCTATCCGTCGTAAAAGTCCGAGTTTGTAGGCCAACAATTCGTGGATAACGCACCTTCGCACAAAGCCATCATTGTGAATGAATTTTCGACCAAACACAAATTTTCGTTTTATCTATAAGTTCCTTATACTTTCTTGACAAGTTGTATTTCCAACAAAATTTTTTACTTTCAAATTTTTCAGCCAAAAAGTATGCAATAGCTACGGAATTTAGAGTGAATGCATGAATAGCTCTGCTATGAATGGTGTTAGAGCGCCAAATTATTCCTAACACAATTATGAAGACCGCTGCCAGTTGGGAGGCTCTGACCCAATAAAAACCTTGTTCAATTTCGGTTACATGGACTCGACTATCAATACCTCAACGCCGTCGCTTTTTAGGAGAAGTTATATAACACGTTATGACACCCGCCTATGAAGTACATAACTCGGAACCGTGATTTTTATAAAAAAAAATTGCCTACATTTTGGCGCATAGAAGGCTTTAGGGTAACGAAACGGTGACTGAAAACAAAGCGGAAAAATCTACTTTATTTTGTATTACATGTATGTTTTGGGATAATCAAACGAAAGTGAAATCTAAGCATTGAGCACAAAATCTTGCGCACATATGATCATCATATCATCCGTTGCTATCGCTGATCGGTTCTACCTTTATAGCATTTTCACCAATACTCCTTGTTAGAATACGTTATCCAAATACGCTAATTAAAGCCATTCTATTTACCCTATCGCATATACAGCCTCTGAATTATTACAACAGCAACAAAAACAAAAGCAAAAACTATGAGTTTAGTCATCAACCTTGCCAATGGACTGTGAAGTTCAAGACAATTGGATTAGAATACACTTGACGACGGGCGGCATACGGCATTCGGGGACGAGGTTAACGCCGCCCGCAAATCAAGCGGTATCAGAGGGGTCATCTAACACCAACTGTTCGTTGCAGCGGTTGGCGGCGCTTCACTCGTCGGTCACTATGATGGTCGCACAAAGTAGATCTGTGCTTTGTTTCTATATACATATATATATATGTGTGTATATATATCTTATTTTGTTGCCTTCGAAGCTTTGGCTAGGGAAGCCCTACATGGCCGACAAATCGGTAAATGTATGCGCACATTGGGACTCGGGAAGTGTCTGCTTCCGTGACTGCTGGGCAGTTGTTTTTCGATTTTTTGCCTCTTCGGTAGGGCGCGCATTGCTGCATTCGTACTATGCGCACGAACGAACGAATGCTACACAAAATTTTTCAATATTTTTTTGTACTTTTTAAAATTATCATAACACGGCACACCGTTCGAGCGTGAAGAAGCTTAGAAGCAACCAACGCTTGTTCATTAAGCGTTTTGTTTTTAATAAGATTTGAAACTAAGTGAGCTCTGCTATATTCATTTCTAGATAGATAATTCGATCAATTATAACCACAATTCTTTCTCTCTTTTTTCAGATGTTTACGGATTTTTTTTAAATAGGATCATACAGAGAAGAAGAAACGGTACCTATCGTTGGTTGCAACTGGACAAACGTAAAGTTCGAAAAGCAAAATAAAAAAATTATAAAAAATTGTGCATTAAACATTGGAGCTTGAGAAAAGAGGAACTCAACCAAAATAAAAGAATTAGTGGAAATACAATCATATGTGAACATTTCCATGTGCAAATAAAACGAAGTTAATTTTAAAATTTACTTCAAACTCTTTTGCCATACAAAGATAATTGCAGGATCATATGTGTTGTGCCGCAACATTGATTGTTGCGCTAACGAAAGTCACACACGACGACACACACCTGTCGAGAAGGTGTGGCGGCAAAGGAACTGAGGCAAGCATTTGAAATTATCACCTGCCCCAACATTATTGACTACAAAATAGGCAAGCAAAGCACGGCGGCGGCTATATCGAGGCAGGCTACAGTACGAGCGTTTCGCTCTAAAGCTTTTACTTTAAATAACGAACAACATTAACAACAAATACAGTCCATTAGTAGTATATAGACTAGAGTGTGTGGTTAAGGGTGCGGCGTAAGCAGCCAAAAATTTAGCTAGTATGGAGTGCTGTTTATCGGAGGAGGCGAAGGAACAGAAGCGCATTAATCAGGAAATCGAACGGCAGTTGCGTCGAGACAAACGCGATGCGCGAAGGGAACTCAAACTATTGCTGCTCGGTAAGTGATTTGCGCAAGGTGCAAGTATGTATATCTCAATCTTAGGGCAAAAATACACCTAAATGCATTTAAAAAAAGCCGAGATTAGGTCCAACTTGCTAATGACTTTGTATGAACCAAATTTAGAACTAAAGTAGAAACTGTCATCGGTTAGAAACAACACAGTTTTATTGCTGAATTCAGTTCCATTAATAATTGTTTTGTCTCTAGTGACTAAGATTCATGTATGTATATGAAGTAAACTTTCCATGTCGGCTCCGGTATTTATTTTATCTGGAGTTGTTACTATTACTACTTACTGCCACTGAAAAATATTTTGAACACTCGTTCCTTCCTAAAAAGCAAGCCAGTTTCCACGTTCAAGTCGGTTCTATGTAACCAAGAACCAGAATCAGAAACCAGCCAGTAGTAGTGGACTGGTTGTTTTTATCCAAAAATATTTAATGAACTACAAATGTCTATGCCGACAAACAAGCCTGTTCTACGGCAGAGTCCAGGATGAGAGGGCCAGAACCATGCATTTCAGTGGGGTCCCACACTTTTAAAGAGCACGGAGGAGAGAGTGGAGAGAGAACAGTGCTGGCTGCAGAAAGCGCCATATTGTCCATCAATTTGCAGAAACAGGCTAAAGGCCCTAGGTTCCATCTATTTAGACAGGGTTCACATCACCTAAGTCGCGCCCAGCAGGCTCCTGGTTTGTCCAGGATGCTGGACCTTGGTGACCATATGTGATATTGGGGAGGGCACTATAGACCGTAGGAAGTGCAAAACCTCTATCTTTACTATCTATCTATTATATGCCTGCATTAAATACAAAAACAATACTGCTTCGTGGAGAAATTTCGAATTTTGTGGTAATATTTGTTTGTAGTAAAGTTTTCTGAAAACTTTCGAGATGTAATTTCATATACATACTCCTTACTTGTTCGATCAAACAGCTTAAGATACATTTTTCTTGTTATTAATTTGCTGTTTATTTCTCTTCACAGGCACTGGTGAATCCGGCAAATCGACATTCATCAAACAGATGCGTATTATTCACGGCAGCGGTTACTCCGACGAAGACAAACGGGGTTACATTAAATTAGTCTATCAAAATATATTCATGGCCATGCAGTCGATGATCAAGGCCATGGATATGTTAAAAATTTCGTATGGCAAAGACGAGCACGGTGTAAGTAAAGCACATATAAGAGATGAAAAATTAATATCTACAGTACTTTGGTAGTTCAATAGATATGTTTATATTCGGTTCTAAGCGGTACGAAAGCCGATTTATAATTTAAAAAAAAAAACCTATTTTACCATAACCTAAAAAAAATCACTAACCTATGCTAAATTACATTTCCGACAGGAACTTGGCGAACTGGTGATGAGTATCGATTACGAAACGGTCACATCATTCGAAGATCCATATTTGTCCGCCATTAAAACACTGTGGGCGGATACTGGCATACAAGAATGTTACGATAGACGAAGAGAATATCAACTCACAGATTCGGCAAAATAGTGAGTACCTTACCACCACCCATATACTTATAAGTTTCTTATAATTTAAGTGTTCGCCATTACAAATAACGAAAAAGCCGTGAGGCAAACAATAACTTAGAAGTGTGTAAATCGAATGACATACATACATACATACAAACAAACAATAAGTATATATAGAAAACTTATAAACAAAAAAAATATATATATATTTATTAGTTATCTGATGGATCTCGATCGTGTGGCTCAACCAGATTATTTACCAACCGAACAAGATATTTTGAGAGTTCGTGTGCCGACAACGGGGATCATTGAGTATCCCTTTGATTTAGAAGAAATTCGATTTAGGTACAGCATACAAATTCTATTTCGCAAAATGTGCCTTTTGATTGCATACATGTAAATTATACTACTAATTTGCTTTGACTCTTATTTAATACTAAATATTTACTAAACTTTTGTTAAAACAAAACAAACAAAAAAAAAAACATTGTTTTGGCTTTCGAGCATTTTGTGCATGTTTGCCTTATAATTTTTTGTGTGCGACACTAACCCCCGATTTTTACACATTTTTGTTGAAGGTTAATATATTATTAAAAATTGTTAGAAAAATATATAAATTCATCTATACTTTGTAGTGTTGAGTTTGTAGGAGTTCACTGGAACTTAGCGAGGTTATGTTTTCAGGAAATGAAAGTAAGATTTCGTGTTTGCAGCGATTTACATTTTTTTTTTAGTTATGCGAAAAAAGGTTAATAGTGTTTTGCTTTCAACGACTTTATATCAAATTAGTTTACGCTGGATCTTCGTGTCACCACTTAAAAACTATTACTTCATAATCATGGTCATAATTATAGCATTACTTACCTATAAATAAACAATTTACAATCTTTGTTTGCCAACGCGCAGCTATCTCAGCGATCTTGAACGTATTGAAAAAGAAGATTTCCTACCTAGCGAGCAGGATATTTTGCGTGCTCGTGTGCCCACCACAGGGATACTTGAATATCCATTCGATTTGGACGGTATCGTATTTAGGTATAATACTTACTCACAAAAAAAAAAAAACATAAAAAAGATTTTGAAAAATATTGCATAGAACTTTTCCCATAAGGCTAGTCTTATAAATGCAATAAGTCGAAATAGTTCAATATTGTCAATTCTGCAGGTTTGAAGTTTAGCTTGAAATACTTTCATCATACATACGCATTGTTTTTGTTGGTGCTTCACTAATTTGTGCTTTGTGTAGTCTCATTTGTTTGTTAACGTTATTTGGTTCATTTTCGTATTAAACATTTATTATTATTTTTTAAGCATTTCTATGTGTAGCGCCTACAAGCTTACTTATTTATGAGTGTAGTTTATGTTTGTAACCGTTATTATAACCGATTATTAAAACTTGACGTTTTTTTTAAAATATGCCAAATTTAATTCAAACAATTTTATGCAATTTCTCCGTCGTATATTCATTCAACACACATATATATATATATATATATATATATATACACGCACAGAATGGTGGACGTGGGTGGTCAGCGTTCCGAGAGAAGAAAATGGATTCATTGCTTTGAGAATGTGACTTCAATCATATTTTTGGTTGCGCTATCGGAATACGATCAAATTTTATTCGAATCTGATAATGAGGTGAGTACAATATACGCACTGGCGTGTTAAAAATGTCTCATTTGTCTATTGTTGTTTATTGCGCAGAATCGTATGGAAGAATCAAAAGCTTTATTTAGAACTATTATTACGTATCCGTGGTTCCAAAATTCATCAGTTATTCTCTTCTTAAATAAGAAAGACTTATTAGAGGAAAAAATCATGTATTCGCATTTGGTAGATTACTTTCCCGAATATGATGGTGAGTACTCACACACTAATATTTTACTATAATTTTCTGCTCACATTTGTAGTTGTAAATTATTTATAAGCTATAGACGCGCTAGCTATCAAAAAAGCTATCAGTTTTTTGTTGTTTATTATTAACAGTTATACACAATTATTAACAAACAAAAAAAATTCTAAAAACTTTTGTGATTACGAAGGACCCAAATGTGATCACGCTGCCGCTAAACAATTTGTCTTGAAAAAGTATCTGGCTGCGAATCCAGATCCCGAACGTCAGTGCTACTCCCATTTCACCACAGCTACAGGTTAAAACCACAAAGTTTTACTTAAAGCTTTCAAAGCTTTGCTAAAAAGCTACTTGTACCTAGCTGTTCTAAAGTTTGCGCTACGCACACAATATCGATTTAGGTTATGTATATGCATATGTATGTAGTAGTAAATGGTATTTAAAAATAAGTAGGTATTTAGTTGTGTAATTATTATTGTATGCCTTATAATCGTATCGCTTGTACTGTATGTTCGCTCTTCTTTCATATTCTCACACTAAACGCTAATTAGGTCCACAAAGGGATGCGATTGCCGCCCGAGAATTCATACTTCGTATGTTTGTAGACCTTAATCCAGATTCCGAAAAAATCATCTATTCTCATTTCACCTGTGCTACGGGTAAGTATACGCATATGCTCTCAAACCCAGTTAGAGTGAGTGTTTTTGGGTGAATTAAAAAAAAAAACATTGTGTGTGTGTGCTTGTGTTTGAGAAATAGGAAAATTAATGACAAGTTAACGGTATTCAACTAAAAACTCAGCAAATGTCTGGCAGGTAATGCAAATCGACTCATAAATAGTAGAACTGCACGTATGTATGTATGTACAAGCGGTAAACGCTTATGGTGCACTATTTTGCTTAAAACTGTAACTTAACGGTATATGTAAACAGAACCGCTAGCCTTTTTTTGTATAATGTAGGGGTAGTTGTCAGTAAGCTCTGCAACTTAAAATGAAAAAAAAAACAATACTTACTGTTTATTAAAAAAAAATCTTAATAAATTTCCACTGTGGACACTTGAACTTCGTGCAGATACCGAAAACATTAAGCTCGTATTCTGCGCCGTCAAGGATACTATCATGCAGAATGCTCTCAAGGAATTCAATTTGGGTTAAGCAACTTCACCGAACACAAATGAACGGAGCGCGCGTCCTCATCTCTCTAACCCGTCTACCTAGCTACTTACTTGCATATAGTTCGTGCATCGCATCAACTTTATACTACGATTTTATTAATACACATTGGCTTATGTTGCTTGCAAAAGAATAAATAAATAATATTAAACAAATAAAAAGACTTAATTTCTAAAAAACCACCTACATACATAGATGTATAGGAAATAATATTGTAATAATGTTTAGGCAAAATGTAAACTCTTTGGTTTAAGTTATCGTCAATAAAACAAATTCCTAAAAGTTGTTTTACTTTCGCCAGTGAGTCGCATATGATGAGCGTTAATTTCCTCTGTCGGGGGAAATTTTAAATATTAATAATTAGTTGATTCTCCTACCGAGTATTAGGTGTGTTCGTACGTTCGACAGTTAGAAAATTGGCATATTTATGAAACCTATTAAAAATAGCAGCAATTAAATTAGGAAAAAAGAGTGCTGAATTATGCAATTAAATTTAAAGCTTAAAAAATCTATAAAAATGTCAAAAGTATATCAAAAAGTATTTTTTAAGGACATCTACTTTTTACTTTTTAAATTACTATTTATGAAAATATTTTTTAAATTTACTGTTGCTATTTTTACGAATCTAGAAATGAATTATTTAAATAATTTAAAGCGTAAAAAATCTAAAAATATGCTAATATATCCAAAAGGTTTATTTGAAGGAAATTTTTTTCATACGTCTTTAATTATTATTAAAGAAAAGCTTCTTCCTAAAATATACAGTTAAAAGACAAAATTTAATGTGTTGTTGTTGTAAATACACAAATGTCATAGTTATAAAAAAAACGTCATATGTTTTGGCAGCCAATCCAATACTATTAGTCTAATTCTTTGGAAAGATTTTAGTTCAATATTTTTCAACCTAAAAAACATAATATAAAAAATTCCATAATACGACATAACAGTACTATTAATTGTTTCGAATATGCAACAATAAATCTTTCTATTCTATTACTATACGATATATGATATAATATGTTACTTTTTCGGAAATACAAGAATGAACAATTATATTACTTTTTTCGAATATACAGCAACAACAAAGTATGATTTATTTATTAATTTTTACAAATAATTTCGAATAACGGTTTATTACTTTTTCGAACATACAATAAAAAGCTAATTGTTGCTTTTCATGTTTTTTATAAATAATATGAGTTTATTAATTTTTCGAAAATACAACAATAAACGTAAGCGTTTTTACTACTTTTTAAATATATAACTACAAATGACTATTTATTAATTAATTTTTTACAAATAATTTTTAATAACGGTTTATTACTTTTTCGAATATACAGCAACAACAAATTATTAATTATTTATTCATAAATAATTTAACTAGCAATTTATTGAAAACAACAGTAAACACTTTTATTGCTATTGCGAATGTTTTTACAACATCAATAAAGCACGATTACAATACAAATAGCATCGAATAACGGTTTATTACTTATTCGAATATCCAACAAAAAAAGTTTTGTGTAATATTTTTTTAACCATTATCCTAGGTGCAAGAATCGAGTTATTATATTTTCGAAGATCCAAAAATAAAAGCAATTAACTTGTTTTTCGAAGATCGAAAAAATAAGAAAATGTAACTATGTTTTTGAACACTTGCCTACAACAACAAATATTTTAAACCGTCATTGAAAAATGTTTGTTTTCGAACAACAGTAAAAGATTTATTCTTGTAGTTTTTCAATTATACACACTTATGTATGTATAAAATGTAATGATTTATTATTTCCAATTTTTTCCATTTATTATTATATTCGGGTCTATTATTTTATTTTCAAGTTTTATCTATTTATCTATTCACCAGACTAAGCAAACCTAACCTAACGGTGAATTACATACATACATATACTGTAAATTTTATGTTTGCAAAAATGTGGCAAAGCTGTTTGTGAGTGCGCATCTTGATTTGTTTTGTATTCGAAAAGAAGAATATCAGTGAGTGTGTTAAGAATCAACTATTAAGGAATATGAAGAAATAAAGTTGTGAGAGTGTGTGTGTAAAAAACATTTAAGGAGGTCCCTTACATACATATGTATATTATTTTAAAAAATGTTTTAATCCAATGAAAACATCTTTTTAAATAATTTAATATTATTTTTATCTTTATTCTTATTTGGTATCATTATTGGACCTCCTTAAATCTTTCCAATCTATATAAAATATTTTCTAATCAATTTTTTTTTTCTCACCCCGCCCACTTTAGATACTGAAAATATTCGTATCGTGTTTACAGCTGTTAAGGACACCATTCTCCAATCAAATCTGAAGGAATATAATCTGGTCTGAAGTGCATTCAGATGGACAGACAATTTTTGTGATTTTATTATATTCATGATTCCTTTTTCGCATAAAAATATATTAGTAAAAAAAAAAAAACAAAACAAAACAAAAATAAATAAACAAACAGAAAAAATACATATAACGCTAAATTAAAATGAAAAATTATATAAGCAAAAACAAAAACAAAAATATTAGACAAACAAAATAGCGCAAATGGCGATGAGTATAAAAATAAAACTAACGGTTATTTAAAAAGAAAATTTTACAACGCAAAGTAAAAAATAGTAAATAACATTAATAATAATAATAATAATTGCAAGTATATATAATATAATAAAATGTATGGAAATTCAGTAAAACTACAAAATGAGACGGCAATCAGACACCAACAAGTGTAATAATATTCGAGAGGAGGAGGAGCTAGCACATATGTAACTAGAAAGAAGCGAGTGAAAATATTAGTTAAATTTATTTTAATTGTTTTTTTTTTTGGAATTTGCCATCGGCAACATGAAAATGCGAAAACGAAGGGAACGTCTCATACATACACACAAACACATGCAAACACGTGAAAAAGCGGCGAACAGTGAACGCAAGAAGAAAAACAGCAAATTAAATAATGAATAATGGAAATGTAATACATATGTATAATTAAAACGAACATATACACACATACATAAATACATACTTACATTATTTGCACATGTATTGATGAAGTGAATCACTAGATGTAACCATAAATACATTAAAAACAAACAACAACAAAAAGCTAAATAAATGCTAAATGAGAAAACGTTTCTTATTATGTAAATAAGAAGAAGAAGAAGAGAGAAGTTCAACCAAATATTTAAGGAAAACAAATGTGAAAGTAATCATCTACAACAACAACTACAAATACAACCGCTCCTACAACAGTTCGGCCAGCTGGCTGCGCTAAGGCGCGGCGAATTGAGCATACAAGAGGCAGACAAATGGGGCAGAAGCGGTCGGCGGCAGCAAATTCGCATACATGCATACATACGCACACACACATACCTAAAACATACCCACATACATACATACTTAGTTAAGGCGAAAATTTAGAAGGGGGCGAAATAAGCGACGAAATTAAAAATGTAACTGCATAATATGATTGTTTATAAATAATAAATTATTAGATAAAATCAAATGAAATGTTAATTTTGTTTGTGTAAAACTTGCGCGCGCAGAAGAAGTTACAAGAAAGTAACACTTTGAACATAGAAAAACATTTAAATCAATTGCAAACACAAAAACAACAACTACGCCATAAAGATACACGCACACTCGCGCACACAAGTCTACATACAATACACATAGCGTGCAAATGTAAAAGTTGTATGAAAACTGCTGCAACAAAAACACACAATGCATGCGTTGTAAAGTAATTAAATGTAATGCAAAAACATACAAACTTACACACATATATGTATGCGTACATGTATTGAGGAGGAAACGAAGAAAATGTATGGAAGTTGTAATGTCATATATATGGTACATACATACACATACACCCAACTATATACATAAATATATGCATAAACGCACACACATACACACGCACACTTAAATATTAAGTTATTAGTAAAAAAATGATATAAAAAATAATTTTGTGCTTTGTAACACGATGGCATTAGAATTGTATAATTGACAGTTCATGAATACATATGTTCGCTTTAAGTTGGCGTTTTTAAAGTTTTGAAAACTATGTATGTACTATGATTGATTGTTTTGATTTTTTTTTTTTTAATTTCGTTTAGTTAACTATTTTTGTTCTTGTTTTCGTTTTATTTTTATTATTATTATTATGATTTTTTGTAAATTTGATAATGATATAATAAAAATAAAAATTAATATAAATAATTTATATGCGCTCATAAGAAATAAAAAAACAACAACAAATATTTATATTTTGAACAAATAAATAATGGAAAAATTCAAATAAACACATATGAATGGGAAATTAGTTTATACATATGTACAATCTATGGTTTCAATAGTTTCACACAGTGTCACAGGTGATGAAAAAATATGCTGAATGGCTACAACAATTTCAGTTAATTTGAAATAAATTATTTGTGTTGTCAAGCGCGAGTGGAGTGTCGAAAAATAAGGACAGCGCTGCGTTAAAAAGTAAAAAAAGGGCGAGTCAAGCCGAGAACGTGACTGTGGTGAGCCGAATATTTATCCGGCCAATGACTGTCTACTCGGCAATTTTCTGCTGCTACAACAACAACAAATCTGGTGTAGTATAATTTTTGAAGCTGTAACTGAGGACGTCAAACATGTCAACAAATTTGACCCGGACTGACAAAAAAAAAAACATGCTCACCTATTCTAATACACATCTTTTTTTTTCGTTTTCGACGTTATCTTTTGCACCACTCGGAGTTATATGGTGCACCAGCGACGTTATTTACAGCATTTATACACCACTTAAGTAAACAATTTATATTGAAAATTTTTATTTTTACTAAAAATTTTATGCTGCAACAGAAAATAAATATGTTCTATGAGTGTCAGTGCGATAAAATTAAGCCACCGTTAATTTTATTAAAAAAATATTTTATTTGCAATAATTTAAAAGCAATTTTAAAAGTTTCGTACCAAAAAAATAAAACCAATAAATAACGTAAATTATTATTATACATTAACTTTTTCGTAAATTTACACATAAACACATATATGTACATACGTAGGTTTACACACATACACCCAAGCGCATTGCAAACGTTGCAGTCAGTTGGTACACTCGTGATGATTGCGAATTTATTACGCCGCATACTCGCACTCATATACATATGTACATACACATATTATATAATGTAACCTATGTACGTGAGAGTGAATTCGTCGATAAGAAATGTAAAAAAAAAAACAACAAAGCTTTAACTGAATAAATTTATGTAAATGAATTATAATAGAGATTGCATTAACTAGCTTTTAAAAAGCTTAAAGTACTAAAACCGTCATCGTAGTTGTTGTTGGTTGATTAATGATGAACAATGAAACAACATAGTGGTCTTAGTATTTTAGAAAATTACCGTTTAATTGTGCACGATTGGAAATCTGCTTATATTTTTAAGTTTTGTTTAATTTTTACGTTTCCGTCCAAATGAAAATGAGCGTAAAGCAAATTAAATTACATATGTTTTTCATAGCTAGTTTTCATATTGTACATGCACATACATATTTGCTTTAAATTTATATTTTTTTTTATATCTAGGCGTTTAGTTTTCATATATATTTTTTTTAATTTTTAAAATTTTTTCGTGCATAAATACAGTTACGGACAATAAAATATAATCATCCATGGTACTAATTTTCTGATCTAAAAAAAAATATGAATTTGATTTAAATTTAACTAAGTTATATTTATATAATTTTCTTCATATCATAGCAGTAAAAATATTGGGGAAAAAAACAATTCATAAATATTACAAAAACACAGGTCAACATTTTTTATATTAAAAAAAATTATTTTTTTAAGGGAACTAATAGAACATTTTTTAGTGCATTGTAATGTATTCTTTATCGTCTAGTACAGATGCACATCTTCTAGGCATAGACATAATTAGACGACCGAAAGTGTTCTGTGAAAAAGATAACAGACCTTTGTACCTTCTCTCAGAATTCTGTCTTAATTTTCGGTTTAACGGATGCAATATTTTCCTTTAAGTGATTGGATTCAAATTTGCTAATTGCTCTGACCAAGCCATAACCCTAACATCATGATCTGAAACCATTTTTTGCAAGACCCGAAGTATGTTTCGGATCGCTCTCTTGTTGGAATTGCCAAAATGCAAGGCGAATTCCGAGTATGAGCTTATCTAAAACTTTAACGTACATATATTATTTAGCGGTCTATGTTTTCTCGCATCCAAATAATAGGTCCCGAAACAAAATATGAGAAACAATGCTAAAACATTGCATTGTCGCCACGGGATTTGAAGGACCTAGTCGAACAATTTTTTTTTTTTGGATTTTCAGCTCTGCCCCTAAATGTGTCGTTTACCAATTGAATACAATTGCATCTATGTCGTTTTCTCAGCATTGTCACCAAGTTGCAAAAGCATTTTTTCTCTACAAGTTATCGTCTTACTGTTCTTTAAGAAATTTTTGCACATAATTCGTATTAATTGGCTGCAGAGGCTTTAAACGGATCGCGCATCGATAAATCTGCATCGAAATCTGCAGCAAATTTTTTGGGATCGGCCTGTTTTTCAATCAGTTTTCGGAAATTTTAAGGCATCAAAAGCAAATTTTTGAGACATATTCTATATGTTTGAAATTTGCTTTTACGCGTGACCCATTACTTGCAAATTTTGGAAGAACAATGTTTTGCTCGACCTATTTTTATTTCTAATTAAGTACGCTGTTTACACTTTTTCAATTACAGTTACTATAAATGATAATGCTATCTTTTCTTCTTTTTAAACGTACATATTATTAAAAGTTAATACATAAATGAAAAATTTCAAAAAAATTATACCATTGTTTCAAAGCAAAATCTTTGATTATATTTTATTGTCCGTAACTGTACATATTTGCATTATACTTTTATAT